TGTTGTCATCCTAATTGTGCCAATTTTTGCCACGCGTGGGCAGGGGGTATTTGTTTGTGTAATTACAGTTGTTATTTTTTTTTAATACCTTATTTATGATTTGGCAGGTTAATTTCAGTGGGTGTATGTATAGTAGTTAAAATCTCGATTTAAATCTGCGATTTTACGATTTTATGATTTTTTTCAATCAAAACGATTTTATCAAAATTTTAAATGCTTTTATGTTTTTATGATTTTTTTACGTTGAAATTTTATATTGTACGATTTTTTATCTTCTTTTCAATTTTAGATAGAATCCCGATTTTAATTAGGATGGTGTATGGTACGTGGGTTCTTTTGATTTGTTGTCTTAAATGAATTACAAAACGGATCTGAGGAGAAGATGAGGAAGGAAAATGAAATGACAACAATGCATGCTCTGTCTGGTTGTGTTGTGTCTGTCTCTAATCTCTATGCACAAAAGCTAATAATCAGATTCCGGAAGTTTACGAGAATATTAATTTGGACAGTGGAAAGTGAGTTGGATGTGCACCTGGAAAATTTCTTATGGTTTATAGCCTATATATGGAAAGGTTACCCTTACGTTGTGGAGAAAGTTTTGCATACACGGTATATACCATGCGGTTTTCAGTTAAAAAAAAAAACACAAATATAATTATTTAATAAAATTGTTCCGTAATTCTTAATAAAATGAAAGGAAAAGCACTACTTTTTTTTTTTAAAATTAAACCAACTCCATTAGATATTAACTTCACAAACACCTAATACTCATAAAAAGAAAAAAAGAAAAAGAAAACCTAACCAGCAGTTATTTTAATTCAAGCATAGTTTTTTGTTGAAACTTAGGGCCAATACTTAAAAAAATTGGTTAATTAATTAATATAAATATTTCAAATTGAGTGGCTGTCCGTCTTAAAAATTGCTGATCAATGGACTCAATTTCAATGTATATTAACCTTATGTGATGCAATTGGGTGTTTATGTCTTACAAAATTTTATTCATAAAATTTGTGTTAATTTTTACCAGATAAACAAATTATGTCTTCATGAAAAAATATTTTCTCAAAAAGGAGAATACTCGTTATCACACCTATATTTCAAAATAGAAACATTAAAAAACAAAAAACTGATTTAAAAATTACCAAATCGAAACATTATGAGTCCACTTTTGAAGTTCAAGTCATGATTATAACGCTACTTGTAAAATACATATATCACTATTAGAAAAGTTTTAATTTTCGATGAAAAATATTCCGTAAAAAATTAACAGCTTCAATATTGATGAAAAATGTATTCCATCGAAATTTTTGACGACAATTATATTCCGTTGAAAACTTTCGAAGGAAAATGAATTCCGTTAAAAACTTTTTAAAAAATATATGTTAAAAGAAATTATATTTGTGAATCTTTCAACAATAATCAAATTTCGTCGAAATTTTTTTACATAATTTTTTTTTTGTCAAAAATCTTATAAAAAAGAAATAATATTTATGAACTTTTCAATGGAAAACGAATTCCGTCGAAAATTTTTGCTTAAAATTCCTATTTATTTATTGAATCAAAATCTATATGAAAGATATTTTTTTTAAAAAATCAATTCAAATATTTTTGGTGAAATTTAACAAATTCTTTTAAAAACTAATTCAAATTTTTTGAAGGAAAACAAATTCTGACAAAGATTTTCCACGAAAAATATTCCGTTGAAGATTTTCAACAAAACAATTTTCGTATAATATTTTCAACGAAAAGAAATTCCGTCGAAATCAATTTCCGTTGAAAATTTTCCATGAAAATTAATTCTGTCGAAAAATAGATTATTAACGAAGAAAAATTCGACGACCTGAATTTCGTTGATAATATATGGTGAAGTTATATGAGACACAACTACTGTGAATGTAGGTACTATTAAGGTTTTTTTATTTTAATGGCTATCAGATGTTGTTAGTGATGAATTCTCTTGGTACTCCGGCCCCGTCACTCATCCAAGAGCACTTAATTTCATAAAAAAATTGAGGGTGGAGAGATTTGAACCCATAATGAGTGGCAAAGCAACTTCTAGGTCAGCTGGTGCCAAGGCACGAGCTAATTTTAAAAAATGGTATAGATTTTCTTTAAAAATTATAGTATAGCCTTAATACTGGTAGAGTTTTTAAAAATAATATAACATTGGCACTGGCTGAATTTTATCCGATGGATCTTTTGGCAGTGGCTGAGTTTTTCTTCTGGCTTCGCCACTGCCCATGATCCTTCGTCATGGAGGTTTAAATATTATGTAAAGTATCAATTCAACCCAAAAGCTTAAGTTGTTAAGTAGTGAACGCTATTAAGTAAAGGCTCATCAATAATTGTATGTTGTTATATATTTCTAACAAAATAAATGGTGATGTTACTTATATCGGACTCTAGTGTGTAAATTAATGAGTAATCAAGGGAAAACATTCCATATGAAAAAATGTATACTTGATGAAGTGTCTCTTGTATGTATAAATAAATATGTGATTTTGAAGTATTCAAGATTATGATTATGGAGAGGATTTTGACTAAAATTGTGTAATTAGTTCTGATCCTAATTATCCTAATGTAGAATATGTATATCATTGTTGGTAGACTGGTAGTTAAGATGCTCTCAAGGTTTATCGTGGGTCTAATATTTGAAAGGTGGGTTTTGATAATTTATTTGAAATTGTAAGTTTATACTCCAATTTTATAACGGGAACTTTTTTTTATGTATATTTTCTTGGAGTTTATCGTTTCTTCATCAAATTGAGATAAAATTATCTCTAACAATCTCAAAATTACATGGATTTGGGAGTTGAGGGAATTAATGAAGGATATTTTAAAAATTTTGTGTTTTTCTTGTTATATGAATTTTTACCAAAATATCATTTATTAATTCCTCTAATCCTAACACGACGTAGTTTTAGGTTGATGGAGATATGGCAGGGAGTAGGAGTAGGGGCGGTAAATAAACCAAAACCTGGCTCATGAAGGCCTAAGTTTACATGTCTAATATTGATTGTTAGAATCAGACTTGGACTTGTATAAAAGCTTGTTTAACAAAAAAGCCTTAGGCTCTAATTCAAAAGCTCGGCCTTAGAGTCTCTTAGGTTGACCTAGTTTACTAACTTTTTATTTTATTTAATATTTTTTATACTACTCATAATAGCCTCACTCTCTTCTCAACCCGTTTCACTCCATTTTATTGGTTAAACATATTTTTTTTAAGGGAAAAATGTTTGTCATTTTAAATGACAGAAAATTATGTCATTTTAAGAGAGATACAGACACAAAATTTGAATTTTAAATTAAAAAAAATCACCCACTTTCTCTCTCCCATGATTTCCGTTTTTCTGTGTCTATCTCTCTCCTAAAATGACATAACTTATGTCATTTAAAATTACAAACACCAAACCCTTTTTTCAATGATTTTGTTTTATATTATGTTGTTTGGGTATATATTGAATTTATGAATCTTTGTAGAATTATTAGCATTGTTGATTGTATATTCTATTTGGATAAATTCTTGTTATCTTATTTTTTTAACAGGTTAAATCAGGTTTTTTTTTGTATATAAATCATGCCACATATCGATAATTATATTCATAATAGGTAACAGGCTAGACCAAACTGACATATTTAAATATAAACTTAACATTTTAAAACCAAAGCCCGTTCTGACTCAATCCCTTAACACCCCCAGGGAGAAATCATAAACTTATTTTTTTATTATAAAGGATTTCTCTGTCTAATGAGGTTTTGAAGGCGTTGAAGTCAGCTATAACAAATTGTAATACTGCTTATCAACAAAAAAATAATAAAATATATTCGTTTATTTTCCTGTCATTATTTTATTTCTTAGATTTTATCTGTATCAAATGAAGGATAGCGTGTTTTCTCTTTATTGTAACTTCTATTTTTTGAATTGCATTATTTCGCAGACATGTGGTGTTCATTTACACTTATTGCCCGATGTGCATGTCCAAATCAAATTAGAAGTTACCCAAAATAACCCTAACTAATTAGTTTGTTACATTAGTCCACCCGATAGGGATGTTCGCGGTCTGGATTGGATCGGTTTGAACCAAAAAATCATTTGATCCAATCTCATCGGTTTGAATTTTTTTTCAGATCCGATCCGATCCGATCCAATTTTTTTCGATTTGGATTGGATTGATTTTCGGTTTTTTTAAAAAGCCTAAAACAGAATTTATAAAAATTATTTTTACCAAAAACAATTTTATCAAGGCCCTTAATTTTACCAAAATTGCCTCCACATGTAATATATAAGCAGAGCATACCTTAACAAAGTACAAAAAAGGCCCTTAGCTATGTGCTTAAATAAATATACCTGTCAGGCTCCAAGTAAGTTCAAAGTACAAAGAAGGCCAGTGACAAAATTACAAAACCTGACATTAACACAACATATTGTAACAAGTGAAGGGAATGACAAAGTCTGCATAAAAATACATCTAATTTTGACCAACAAAAAAGTAAACCCCCTTTTTTCCCTTAAAAGAATTTAACATATAGAATGACAGTTATAAATCTTGTGCTAATACTTGGGGTCCCCAATCCTTTGAGATAGAGCAATAAATTGTAGTTGTTCAGTGCCAAAATCTGCTACAATACTTTCACCCTTGGGAAAAAAAGAAGACAAAAAGGAATTAGAGACTTTAAAATGAAGTTTATCTAGAAATTATGACCAATGAAGCCAGAGTCATGAATGCAAAAATAATGCTCAAGTGAAAATCAATTAATCAAAAACCCAATAGAACTAGCACATAAAGTCTCTGATCTAAAATCAAATGTGTAAATGGCCTTTGCAATCCATAAGGTAATGAGGTACCAAGCTAATTTTGATATTACATAGAGGCCATTTCAACACAACAAAAGCACTTCAATATCCAGCTTTTGTTACTGTTAATTTGTAAGACAAGTCCTAAATGGCAGATTATAATGACACATTGACATATAACCTCATCAACTTACATCATCAACTTTTAATCAGAATCCTCACCAGAATCATCATCAACTTCAATATTTGGAGAAATATCTAAAATAATTATAATAAAATACTGTTAGTAACTTAGCAAGTAGAAAAATTAAAAAATTATACAAAATTAAAAAATTATACAAGTAGAATAAAATTAATTACCTATCTTCATCTTTATAAATTCTTCTATAAGCTCTTCTACATCATTGGAAAAAGGAGTGGACCGGAACCAATTTTGTGCACAAATTAATGCTTCAACTGTCTTTGGAGTAAGACTACTCCTGTAGTTGTTAAGAACTCTACCCCCAGTGCTGAATGCAGATTCTGAAGCAACTGTAGATACTAGCATAGCCAATACATCTTTAGCTACTAGACCAAGAGTAGGATATTTGCTAGAATTCACCTTCCACCAATTCAAGATATCAAATTTTTGAGTTCCTTTCTCTAGTGGTTCCATGAGATACAGGTCCACCTCATTTTTATTCAAGCTCTCACTCACAGTTATGTCCCTCTCAAATTCACTTGCAAATGAAGAGTTATCAAATGCTGCCAAATCAATGTCTTCTATCTCATGATCTTTGGTGGACAATCTAGAAAGATTATTTCCATGAAAATCTTTATAACTATGGAACATCTTGTTTAAAGTCTCCTTAACTCTAACACTTAAAAATTCTGCATTCTCCCTTTCATAAAGCTTCTCAAAACTCCATTCCACAAATCGTAATTTATATCAGGGATTAAGTATCACAACAATAAAAATCATCATGTTGATATTTCTAATGTTTCCCCAATATTTGTCATGCTTAGCTTTCATTTTTTCAGCCATGGGCCCAAGTAATAGATCCATACTCCTACTCCATGTCTTTAAGTTATTCAATATCATGCAAAACTCATGAAAATATTGAGAAGAAGTCACATATAAAGAACCAGACACTTTTTTAGTGACATCATGAAATTTTTTCAAAAATCTCACAAACACTCGAGCATTATCCCAATCCTCAGTATTTGGAATTCCACCTTGCATCATTGCATATTCAGCAACACGCTCTCCTAACCTTTTAAATGCCTTCTGAAACTTTAATGCACTTTCAAGCATAATATAAGTAGAGTTCCATCTAGTAGGAACATCTAATTGCACTATGCCACCCTCTTGTATCCTACAATCTTTTATACAAGTCTTGAATCTATCCATACGACTAGGGGAAGCACGCACAAATCTAACAGCATTTCTTATTTTAGTAATTGAAGCATGCAACTCTTTCAATCCATCATTGACAACAAGATTTAAAATATGAGCACAACATCTAACATGCAAATATTCACCTTTCAACGGATGTGCATTCCAATCCTCCATTCTAGCTTTCAAGTAAGCAATAGCAAGATCATTTGAGCTCGCATTGTCAACAATAATAGTGAAAACCTTCAAAATTCCCCAGCCTAGAAGACATTTCTCAATTTTTCTTCCAATAGTCTCACCCTTGTTTGTCCTTTTTTGGCTTCTCTGAAACTGGAACTGGAATGGTTTGACTTTGAGGCTCATTAGTTTCAGACGATGTCCTATTTATGGACTCAGAATCAGCATTTTCACTAATCACTCTATTGTTTTGTGCCTGCGCGTATATGAAATAAGATAATTAATAAACAGAGTTACACTAAAATTGAAAGATAAAACTTATGCTTTATAAGTAATTAAAACTTACTTCAAACATTGTTACTTGCTTCCTACTCAACAAAATAGCTTGCAACAGTGATGTAAATGACTAAATATTGTCAAATACCTGCATAATAATTAATAAGGATGAATACCTGGAAATCTAGACATTAAAAATTGCAAAAAGCAATGGGTAAAAAGATAAATATAAGCTAACAAATTTGCTAATATTCTTGCAGTAGTGTAGTAATTCAAAAGAGGATTGGTAATATAAGCTAACAAAGTTAATTCCAAAGTGCAAAGATCACCTTACGAAAAAGACCCTCAGACAGACTTCCTTCTTGTTGTTTGAGTCTTTCAATTTTCAACGCACACGAAGATTTGGATGGTACCAACAAGCAATCAGTTAAACATCCAGTGTCACTAAAGCTATTTACAATAGACTAAATGGGAAGATAGGCATCCCTAAAGCTATTTACAACTCAAAGCAACTTCATGCACGAGGAAGGAACAAAGTTCCCAACAAGCTTTCATTTGATAACATATCACCTAGTCTGGTTTCTTAACCTTTTTACAAGATCATCAGTATCATAAAATTATAAATCCATTCTAATTTAAACCAAAGGAAGGATCTTCTCATTTTAATTTCCAAGTTGTATTCATAGCACAGAAAACATTACATAGGCAAGGTCCCATCCATCAACAAGAAGCATCAAAATACTAACATCAAGGACCCAAACCAAAGACAATATGAAAAAGAATAAAAACAAAATCAAGTTGCATAGAGAAAAAATTATTTCAAAAAAATAAAATTTAAAAATAAAAAACTTGGGAAAAACATCCTCTGCGAAGCAAAAATTCGACAGTGGGAAGAACATCAAATCAGTCATGGAACCCGTCAAAAATCCGACACACGGAGCAAGAAAATAAAAATGACATTCGACAAAATCAAGCTGACATAGCGCAGTGAAATCATTGTTGGAAGAGAACATATAATAAGTGATATTTAAGAATAGACAAAGTTGCATACCCGTGGGAGAAGATAGCTTATGCTCACTTTCCTTTGCACAATTACAAACTGACCCGATCTTGAGCAACAGCAAACAACTACTTGTTAGATCTTGAGAACAAAACGGCAAAGAGAAGAATTAAAAAAAATAACAGAGAGATTTATCCATGTTAAAATGCAGTCAAAATCGTAAATAAATAAATAAAAGAGAGAATGAAATCTGTTTCCACGGGCTTGAAAAAAGCTGTTACGAAAACACGAAATTGCATGCTTTTATCAGTTGTTTCTATGTCCCCAGACTCCCCATATTGGGTCACACAAAAACAAACCCGTGAGACACAGAAAGTGAGACACAGGTTTTTTTTAAAAAAACTGTTATCAAAAAGTGACAGAAAATGGGAAAGAAAAAGATGGGCAGAGAAATGAGAAGCACGTACTGTGTTGTGGCGAGTGGCGAGTGGCGAGGAAAGGAAGGGATCGTCTACTCGTTCTCTGTGTCACAAGGAAGGAAGGAGTCGCCGACGGGCACTGGCGGAGGCAGGGCGGTACGAATCAGGGAAGGAGAAGGGGAAATATTGGATCGCAACTTTGCAAGACTGCAAGACCGATTGTCGATTAGGGATTTAGGGTGATTGCATATCAGTTGTTGACGGGTTAATGGGCCACCGGGTATTGATTTTATAATTTAAGAACAGGCCCAAGTATTGTGTAATACATTTATGTTATAAAAATATTGGATCGGTTTTCACCAATCACACCGAAAACCGATCCAATCCAGTCAAAAATTTTGGTTTTTTTTGGGTTTTTCGGTTCGATCACCGCGGATTGGATCGGTTGTTGAACACCCCTACCACCCGATGATCGATGGTACGATCATGCCTCCATATTACTGTAATTATTGAGGATCTACTACTATGCTCGTTATCAATCAAATCAAAGGAAAAAGTGTGTGTCATCTTAGAAGATGTAAAGTTGTGTCATTTAAAAAAAGAAAAAGAGATAGATAAAAGAGGAGAGAGAGTTGACAAAAAAAATAAATGTGTGGGTCCCACCTCTTTGTGAGAGTGAAAGGATATAAGTTGTGTCAGTTAAAAGGATAAACACTCTTCTCTGAATCAAATGTAGAATTTCGACAATGAGTGGTAATTAGAGGTGTGATCTGGATCATTTCACACGGGATTATAGGCCCAATTAGTGATTTAAATGATCCAAAAACTATTATTTAATAAGGAAGGAAATATGGTCATCTCGCATAATTTGGTCATTCTGCAACTACCTGACACACGGAGCTAGTTGCTCAGTCAATTGTTATTACCAACATTAACTGCTAAGGGCAACACCTCCCTCATGAGCCAATAACTCGACGATAGGTACCTACTTACCAATAAATCTACAAAGACTTAACTTAATTATAAGCATGCATCCCGTCCAAGAAATATCCTGTAACGACTACTACTGACCACCAATAGGAATAAATGCTGCCATAGCAAGAAGGTATAATTAGGATGATCATCTACTATAAATACAGAGATATTAAGCTTAGACATGATTATTTTCTCATCAATATTTGAACTCCTTGAATTCATTCAAAACTATTGAGCGTTGAAGTGACTTGCAGATATCTCACCATTCTCTCTTCAAGCTACCTCAAAGTACCAATCCTGGTGGGACAGTGGTCAAAGTGCCACTGTTGGAAAAAAAAAACAACAAAATGCCACGCCAACAGTAAATTTTGCCAAAATACCACATGGCATATTTCGTTACACTATGTAGCGAAATAAGTGTGCAAATATTTCACTACACGGTGTAGCGAAAGATGCCACGTCAGAACAAAAAATGCCACGTGTCAGACAGGGAGAATTTCGCTACACAGTGTAGCGAAATTCTCCCTGTCTGACACGTGGCATTTTTGGTTATGTGCATTCTGACGCGGCATATTTCGCTACACCGTGTAGCGAATTATTTGCACACATATTTCGCTACATAGTGTAGCGAAATATGTCACGTGGCATTTTGGCAAAATTTACTGTTGGCGTGGCATTTTGGTGTTTTTTTTCCAACAGTGGCACTGGCCACTGTTCCAATCCTGGCCTCAAACATCTCCCCAGCCAACTAGAAATTCAGCATCAACCCATCATCCAAAGTTCAACTCATTCATTCGAAATAGGCTGAATCAATACACCTTTCGTGAATTTGCATCTTTGGGACTTGAAATATGGTGTTATTTTTTTTGTTTTTTTAACAGGGTGGCGCAAATTCACATAGCTTTATGTGGAGTACACCTTTTACACATGACTAAAAAAATTAAAAATTCACGTGACCTAAATAATTCTATTTCAACAAATAGTTTTTTACATATTTTAATGAATCAATTATCTTTAAAAACTATTTTGGTCAAATGACCCTAAGAATTTTGTTACTTGAGAAAGATGATGTATTTCTCTTGTGATGTTGATTTGCAAGACTTATTAACTAATGAACAGGAATATAGGATATGAGAATGCGTTAATTAAGTTAATGATATATATAATGAATTGAAAAATACAATTAAAACAAAATGTCGGCAACCATGTTTTAAACACCCCAACCAAATCTTGCTAAAAAACAAAGTTAGATCTAGGGGTGTATTGGATTAAGATTTTTAAAGATTTTTTTGAAATACAAAATCTTATAGATTTTAAAAGACTATTTAGAATTCGAGGGACTTTAAAGACTTTTTTTAAAACAAAAAATTACAATCAAAATTTCATAAGATTAGATTTTAATAGAATTTATAAAATTTGAAAGGACAATATGGATTTTTAAGATTTTAAAAAAAATATATGAATTTTTAACAAACATTGAAAATTATAAGAGTCAACTAAAAAAACAAAGAAATGCAATGATATTAATAAAAAAAAGTAAAACATAATATAATTTTCTCAATCAGTAAAACCTAATATAATTTTTAACAAACATTCAAAATTACTAAGCAACAGCTCTCCACATATCTAAAGTTATACTAGTCCTCTACACATTAACATCTTTTCGTTTCTGCTCTTAGGTTGATTAATGGGTTAAAAATTATATTCTTCATTAACTGATGATACTGAAGATGAAGATGTATCTATTGATTCAATTGGAAATTCATCTGAACGACATTCTTTGTGAAGAAAGTTGTGTAATGCTACACATGATAACACAAGCTCTACTTGTGTTTTAAATGGAAATAGAGGTGCTGACTCAAAATTGTGAACCGTGATTTAGAAATGCCAAATATCCTCTTAATTACATTTTTCAATGATGCATGACGAAGATTGAACAATTCATTTACATTTTGAGAGTCATTACCAAGACATGTAAAATCTTGCAGATGATATCGTACACCTCAAAATGGAGCTAAAAATTGGCGTCGATTGGGAAATCCATTAGGAAATATTTACCTAATTATATATACAATACATATAAAATTAGCATGAAAAATAAAACAAATATTTGTTATTTAAAAAATAAATACTTGCCTTGAGGCACTTCAAGTCTATTCCTCCTTGTTAAAGCATCAGTTAGTAGTCTGGAATCATGAGCTGAACCCTCCCATCCACTAAGAACATACATGAATTCCAAATCAAAGTTACAAGCTGCTAATACATTTTGTGAAATCTTTCCATGACGATTATGATAAGTGCTTACATCATGTCCCTTCATCATTGCAGGAATATGTGTAACATCAATAGAACCAACCAATGCAATCCTAAAATTATTCATATATAACAATAATTATATTAATGAAAAATACGTATTATAATAATGACAATTATAATATAATATTGTTGTGATTAGATAATTATCATGTACCTTGAAATTAAATAAGATTCATAGTTCTCTTTCTCTTTGCCTTTTCCTTTCTTATTTCCTTGTTGTTAATCCCCCATTTACTATAATAAAATTAAAACTAGACAATAATTAAAAAATTTAAATTAGATTAATATCAACACAATTTAAAAACAGGTTTATCCAAATGAGTAAAGCAAACAATGTTAGATAGTTCAATCAAGTTTACCAAAAAAAAAAAGTTGAATTAACAAACAAAAAAAGGATTGAATAAACTAATGATTATGTAGAAAAAAAAAACACATGCTTACAAAAACAGAGCACATATATTGTTGTCTCCAATTGAGATCAGATACATATACAAATTGCAAACGATGCTCGTTAAATATATATATATATATATATATATATATATATATATATGTTATCAAAAAAAATATATATATATATATATATATTATATATATATATAGGCTTATTGTTTATCAAGCTGCTTGAGATAATCTTATCTCCGGCTACTAAATCAAAACCGTACAAAGATGGATCAATGGTGATAAATGAAGAGAGAAAAAGGAAATCATAACCACTCAAAGGTGAATCAATTAATATAAGGAAATAAATAAATAAAATGACGTAGTTTTGAGGTAACCGGAGATAAACTTATCTCAAGCTGCTTGAGAAATATTTTTCCACACACACACACACACACATATATATATATATAGGCAGGATATTCTTACACTGGTGTAAGAGTTATAAGTCTTACACTCAATCTTGATCATTGATCCACTTGTATCCAATGGCTCGCGTTACTAAAAAATTAGAGCCCTTAGATATAATTGGGATCAACGGTCACGATTGAGAGTGTAACTTACACTAGTGTAAAATAATCCTAACCCTGTTATCAAAAAAAAAAAAAAAAAAAAATCCTAACCCTATATACTAGGAAGCACCGACACTTCAATAACTTTGGCGTGTCGTGTCCGACACTTTCCGACACTCCTCGACACTTCAACACGCGTTATAGAAATTCAAAAAATGTTCAAAGGTTGCGTTACGTTAAGTTTTTAGTTCCAACTATTAGATTCGTTGGATTACGATTATCATTTTATTGAGTTTAATATAAATATATGGAATATCTTATGTTTCTTTGCAAAATTGATGAATATTAGAAGTTTAGTTTTATTTTTTATTAAATTATTGAATATTAAATATAATATACACTACATAAATTAAAAATATTATTTAATATCAAAACGTGTCCTAACGTGTCCCGTGTCGGTGTCGGTGCTACATAGCCTATATATATATAGGTAGGATCCTTTGACACCAGTGTCAAATTTGAAATTTGACACCGCATCTGAGAGCCATTAGATCAAAAAAGATCAATGACTCTGATTTGTAAGCATGTGACATCATTGATCTTTTTTGATCTAATGGCTCTCAGATGAGGTGTCAAATGATCCTACCTCATATATATATGATAGAGCTTGCCATCGGAATATTAGGATTTTTAATATGTATCATTGACAAACACGAAAAAATATTAGGATTTTCTGCTCACTATAATTCAAACAATCTTCTATATATATATAAAGGAGAGTTCACTGCTGGAAATTTTTGCCAAGTGTCACTCCCTGGTTAATTCTACAATTTGGTTATATAAAAACTTTCTTTATTGGGTAAACTGGAAAAAAAAACTTTTTTAAAAATTGAATTTTAATTTTTAATCGAATAATAGTTGCAAACAAGGCATTGAATGTCCCACTGCCCATCACATTGGTATCCAAAAAAAAATCAGCTGTTTTAATTGCTTTTTATGTTGGAATTGGTCATCTCATCTGAAATTCGAAATTTTAAATGGTTTATCAATTAAATTTCGAAATTATGTATTTATTTTGCACAATCTGAAATTCGAAATTTTAAATTCAATAAAAAGAAAACTCTTTTCACGGACATGCATTCACGATCTCTATTCATGGAGATCAATAGAAACAAAAACAAATTTCACAATTGTTGAAGACCTGATCGTCATTCAATTCACAATTTCGTTATGGTTATTTTTTTAAAAAAACTCTTTTAAAAATTGAATTTTAATTTTTAAATCGAATAATAGTTGCAGACAAGGCATTGATTGTCCCACTGCCCATAACATTGGTATCCAAAAAGAAATCAGCTGTTTTAATTGCTTTTTATGTTGAAATTGGTCATCTGATCTAATTTTCGAAATTTAAAATGGTTTAAAATTTTGAATTTAAATATGGATGGTTGGAAAAGAATTTCTTTTAAAAATCAAATTTTAATTTTTAAATCGAATAATTAAATGACCATTTGTGGTGGCAGACATAAAAGAATAATTAATTAATAAATATGGTTTTGAAATTCGAAATTTAATTGGATAATCAGGTGTTTTAATTGCTTTTTATGTTGGAATTGGTTGTCTGATCTAAAATTCGAAATTTGAAATGGTTTAAAATTTTTAATTTAAATATGGATGATGGGAAAAGAATATCTTTTAAAAATCGAATTTTAATCTTTAAATCGAATAATTTAATGACCATTTGTGGTGGCAGTCAAGGTATTTAATGTCCCACTACCCATCACATTGGTATCCAAAAAGAAAACAGCTGTTTTAATTGCTTCTTACGTTGGAATTGATCATCTCATCTGAAATTCGAAATTTTAAATGGTTTATCAATTAAATTTCGAAATTATGTATTTATTTTGCACAATCTGAAATTCGAAATTTTAAATTCAATAAAAAGAAAAACTCTTTTTTTTTTTTTTTTGATAACAGAAAAACTCTTTTCACGGACATGCATTCACGATCTCTATTCATGGAGATCAATAGAAACAAAAACAAATTTCACAATTGTTGAAGACCTGATTGTCATTCAATTCACAATTTCGTATGGTTATTTTTTAAATAATATATACACAATAATGATATAACAAAGACATTATCTTTGTTATATATTTGATTCAAATATCATAACAATCAAGAGAGCTGACAGACAAAATAAATTAGATAATCAGGTGTTTTAATTGCTTTTTATATTGGAATTGGTCGTCTGATCTGAAATTCGAAATTTGAAATGGTTTAAAATTTTGAATTTAAATATAGATGGTGGGAAAAGAATTTCTTTTAAAAATTGAATTTTAATTTTTAAATTGAATAATTAAATGACCGTTTGTGGTGGCAGATATAAAAGAATATAAAATTAATAAATATGATTTTGAAATTCGAAATTTTAATTGGATAATCAAGTGTTTTAATTGTTTTTTATGTTGGAATTGGTCGTCTGATCTGAAATTCAAAATTTGAAATGGTTTAAAATTTTGAATTTAAATATGGATGGTGGGAAAAGAAATTCTTTTAAAAATCGAATTTTATGTTATCCAAAAAAAAAAATTCGAATTTTAATCTTTAAATCGAATAATTAAAAGTTACACGTTTATGTCATACGAACAAACCGATTTTCTTATTAATTCGTTTACGGGACAAACAAATCGATTTTTTTTTTCTCCGTGCATCGCACGGGTAATCAACTAGTATACAAAACAAGAAGGTTGATGAAGAATGTATGTGGTAAGCTCATTAGTTCAATTTCAAATTGAAGACACATACATGTTTATCGTCAACTCTATAGTCTATACAACTCTAGTAAAAAATAATAATGAAGCACATAATTAATCATGAAGGAGGAATTTCAAAACCTGAGAAAATATATGAGAGTAAAAAAAAACATACCTTGCCTTTGGGAAAATGCTAGAGTAGATTGTGAGACACTGCAATAGAGAAATCTCAATAAATTCTAGGGGTTAGGGTGAGATTGTGAAAGAGACATCTTATTTATATTTTTTACTAAAAAATCTTACCAAATCTACACTAATAGAAAATCTATTAAAATCTTCAGATTTTTGAATACACAAGATTGTTTTTTCTTTATTTAAAATTCTGATTGAATACCAATGGATTTGGACGGACTCTAAAATAATCTTTTAAAATCCTAATCGTATACACCCTGACTTTTTTTTTCAATATTTTAGAATCCTAATTGAATACCAATAAAATTTTTTATCTAATTAAAATCTTTTGAAATCACAGTTGAATACCTCCCGGGGGGGGATAAGGGAAAGTGAAATCGCGGTATGATTCTGCCAACAACTTAACAGGCAATGGACATATAACCTACATTTCCAGTGATCACTTTCTGCTCCACCCATTAACATATACAATTTTTTCTTAAATTTCTTCTTTTCCTTTGTCCGTGTATTGCGCACCTGCATCCCACTAGTGATAATAAAAATATTGATAATTTTTGTTTTTTAGTCCTTCCTAACTATCATGCACTGTGGTCCAAGTCGAAGGAAGTAAATAATGAAAAAGTTAATTATGTAACTTCCACTCTTCCAATAAAAATTTCCCATTTTTCTTAAAAAAAAAAAGGAGAGAGATTAACATAAATTCGCCATCTCGCTGGACTTGAAAATATATTTTATCTAATTTAAATGTTTTACTGAATTTGGAAATCAAGAATAAGTTTATTAAAATGACGCTATAGTTTGATTTCTGAAAGCTAGTTTAAAAGCAAACACGAATTGGGTAAACAAAGTAATTGCTTCATTTGCTTGTTTGGGCTGGGGAATGTAAGAGATCAAAGAAAGAGTATCTTTATGCAGATAAGAGAAATAAAAGAACGGCTTTTGGGACCTCACATTGAGCTTCTTCTTACTACTAGAAAAAACTAGTATAGCGACGGAATTGCTATGGAAATTCCGTCGTTATACAGGTTTTTTCTAGTAGTAATTATACATGGCTATGGGGCTTTTTCTTAATAACTAAGGAAGCAATCAGCTTCTTTATTCAGGTTTGGATGCAGTGTACAGCCGCAGCAGCATGATCTTATTTTGAGGAAGAGCTGAGAATGCAG